TAGCATATTAATATGATGTTAGTCAATCATTGATCCGTGAGGTATTGTGTTCTATGCCTTGACAACTGGGGTGAGAGAAAGAAACACTGAGTTCTCCAGACGGGAGATGAACAGTGGGATACGAACGATAAATGATCGCGTGAATTCGATAAACGATTTCATGGGGGAAATATTTTCCGGAAACGCATAACATGATAATGCCGTGTCGGTATTACAAAACCCTGAAGCGATTTGACTGGTCAACATTCGTATTGTACACAAAACTTTCAGCCCGCTGTATCATATCGACATGAATTGTTCCTCAAAATTGGAAGTTTAAATACACCGCTACGACATGTTTCGCAAACACCGACTCGCGCCTCAGAACATAACATCTGTGCGAATCGAACCTTGGTCATCTGCTTCCTAGCAGTGACTCCCTCGAGTTAGACTATCGAACCTCCGCAAAACCGATGTCTATGTTCCATTCGCCTTCAGAAACCAAACTATCAACAGAGTTGTCGATTTCGGGGAGTTACATTCTCGTTTACGACAAGTTTAGACACCACACAACACTATGGCGCGCGCAATCAATTTAGACAACATTTCGATTGTCGAAAGTGATAGCGGTTGTCCATCTCGGCACCTACTGAGCACTTGTCGAATCCGACAACGGATGCGTTTTCGCCAATTATTTAGGACAGCTTACTTTCGACAGCACATTGTCGTATTTGACTGTTGTCGAAATGGAGTGCGACCGATCGATGCCCGATAGTGGGCCCCGCGCACAAGTCACCTGTCGAGGTGACACACAGGTTATATCGGCCGATTGAGAGCCAACATATATTCTAACACTGCTGCCAATGGCATCTGTTGGAGCTACAGCACTGACGACGAACCACGATAGGTTGCCGGAACGCTACGTAAGGCTGGGAACAGCTGCCACGTCACCACTACTACTGCGTGGGGATGGCAGGGGAGGTACTTACTATCGAGTCATAGTACACATACTTACTGTAGACGTAAGGAGAGTATTATCCGCCCGTCTAGGAAGTGACACAATTAAAGGGATGAGGACTCAGCCTCCCAAACAGAGCAAAAATCATACTAATTTGTTTTTTCAAATCCAACCAACGCGTGTCCATGGCGATGGTGGTGGCTTTCACCAGTCATAGTGCACTCTATAGAATGCAACTGCATTGGGATATGCATTATGGTATATTGCTATCTGTGATACAACGAGGAGTGAGATCCTCCCATTATCATTAAGATCTCCATGAGCTGAAGAAAGCCACTAGAATGAATTCCTTAGAGATAATTGTGGAAACACGGCACACCGGGCGTGCGCTATTACCGTTAGAAAACTTGAAAATTCGTCAAAGAATGGGAGCAAGACTATCCAAAGAAACGCCAGGGCCTAAGGGAATCCTCATCGCCAGCCTAAGTGCTCAGCCGTCGAGTCTCCATCACGGTTGCGTTTGCTTGACCATGTCTGTTTCTATTTCGACTAATCGAGTTGTTCCGCAAGGTGCCGAACCCGACGTAAGGAAACAATACATCGCATGTGCAGGTCATCCCACGCTGCTCTTAGGAACCGTCCGTCGACTCGCACTTCGGGAGAGCTTCCAAGCCGTGCTCTGACGAGAAGCAGTAAACTCGATCATCAGTGTTCAGGGACCATCGCCCCTTTCAGGCAAAAGAGAACTGCCAATTGTCCTATTGACCGCGGTAATCGTCGACGCATGATCCGCGGTGCCGAGCTCGTTATACGCCGCCCTCGACCGCCTCGACTAGCACCCACCGATGAGGAAGAGGCTGCTCAGCGAGTAGCCATATCCCCCACGGGCCGAGTGAACGCAGATGCCCTTACGAAGAAATGCGTTGATGAACTCGGCGACGACAGTGCTATTCCCACACCAAGTGAGACACTTGTTATTCACCTCGTTACCCTAGGGTTTGCGACGAGGAATTATGCGGGTTGACCTCGGTATTAGTGGAATATATGTTTGCTTTCCTTAGCTGATCTCAGGAGTTTCCTCGCCAACTATAGGAGTTTATATGAGAGCTGCGGCAGAAGTGTCAAGAAACCAACGAGGATCTCCCAAAATTTCATCAAAATCCTGTTATTGTCACCAACATATGCAGTCGACCATGTGTATATTCTCCCGGTCAAACTCTGCTAATGGTCAATGATATTTAGCCCTGGAGTTTCGTGATTTTTCGTTGCATAAGTCCATTACCAGGAGTTGAACCTGTGGTCGTTGGTGTTGTAGGTTGTGTACATAACCTGTCGAACTATTTACATGGTGATATTTTAGGCACAAGCACCGACTCTCCCGCATCAAGCAAAGAGGGAAGTCTGAATTCCTCCATGTTGGAGTACCTCTTATTCGAGCTCTCATCCTCATCATCCGCGTCTGATCACGACACCGACGAAGTCCTTTTCGATGGTTTCATATCGGATGATGATACTCCTCGTTGAATAATCGATTAATCTATTCCCCATCCGTGATGTTGTTCCGATGCGATTACTTATCACCGTCACCACCATCGCATCATAGTCCTATCTCGGAAGAGAAGCCCATCGTTTGAGTCCTGCTTGTGTAGTAGTAGTTGCTGCCTGATTACAGGTTTGATCACTCCTCGAATTTGTGCTGTGAGGCACTTTGCACATTACAAGTTCTATTGTGTTCAAGAGTATAGTAACAACAACAATACACATCCATAGAAACGCTGTAACGGAAAGTGCGCATGCTCATCATTTCTTCGTCTTCGTCGTTTTATCATCCTTCCTGCTTTCACTGCTATCGTATCGGGAATTTGCACGTGCCCATCGACCGCTCTTCCTGTCCCAAATGACACTGAACCTACAACAAGCAATTTCGAAAGAAACAGAGGGTAGGTGATTTCTTACTTATACTGTCCTTCCACGAAGACGCCATAGACTCTACCGCGGTCTCCATAGGTCGCCAAGAACTCCTCAACGGGCTGCCCAGACTTATATGCGAATTCCACCCGATTGCCAAAAGCATGGTAACTCGTCTGCAACCTAAAGGGAACTAGATACCTCCTTATAGCGATCAGACTCACCTTGGTGGTTTTATATTCTTTCCATCCGACTTCATGCGAGAGGCGAGCTTCACTTCTCTACCTTTCACCTTTGTCATGTCCAGAAGAGTCAATTCCTCATCTAAAGAGCCGAACTCATCAGTTATTAAAAACCGCAGAATTGCTCACGATTGTTTTCTTCCTCCCGCTTCTCCTCATCAGCTCCTCGATCATCAACGAATCGATCATCAGTCTTGTCCTTCCCCGAGTAGGCACCCTTCTTCGGCCGGACGCCACTTTTCATCAACTCCCGCACTGCTGAGACTAGATCGTTTTTCTCAAAACACAATTCGGCCTGAGGGAAATCTCACTCACTCGCTATTGTAACCCCAAGGCTACCTTCTTGGCCATACCACAGTCCTCCAACCACTGCTTCAACTCACCCGCCGACCACGTGGACACCGCCTCCACCTCCTCCGCTGTCGCTGGCGGCCCTGCATCATCAGTCGCATCTAAGAGCAATTTCATGGCGCGCGAAGTTGCTCGAGAACTCACCACTGTCTCCAGCAGACGTGGTAGCTCCTGCTCGAGTGGGTAGAGTTAATTTCATGTCTGACAATATCTCATACCTACAGCGGAGCGAAACCATACAGTGTTGGAGGGATATATGCTCGCTTTACTCAGCTGATCTACATATACGAATTAGAATTTGAATATCATCCAACATTCTTCAAATTTCTCATATTGTCACCGACACATGTAGTTGACCATGTGCATTGTTTACAAAACTGAAACCATACTTCACTAGTTTTATTCTGCTGCCGACCATCGGTCAGTTTACGCGAGTACAACAAGAGCATGCAAAATCATCCTCGAGAGCGTCAATCTTGGTGATGAAAAAAAATTACAATTCCAAGCCAAGTTCAGTCTTTCACAACCTAGTACACAATCGTACGTCATCGCTAATCAGGATGATTTTTCCCGACACCTACCGATGTTTTCGATCATTGAAAACAAACCAGGGCTCGGTACTCTTCGTGAGGTCGAAAGCGTTCGAGCACTCCGGATCGTCCAGGAAGGCGTAACAGAGGTTGGTATCCCGCAACTGTGAATGCAGTTTCCAATCATTGAATCTACCACAACATACTCAAGTGACCAACTTCACGAGGGAGGAAGTCCGAAGGCGTGCGATAGGCGAGCCGTGAAAAATGGCATAACTCGAAATTCAACGAGTGAAAGACGATGAAAATTGTCTCCCCCAGGGCGATCACTTCATATAGCCGTCACGATGCTACTCCCAAGCGTTCGACGACGGAATTTACCTTTCAGAGTAATAGAGGAAGACTGGCCATCGTTCATTGCCCGATATCCGCCTGTACGCTGGACGGCCATTGAAAATGCCAATTCGTTTATACGTCCCTATCAAACAGAAACAAGAGCCCACAGCAAACTGTGGAGGCTTACCATTCAACAACCCCGAGTGATAGGTGTGAGCAGTTGCTATATCCACTACTGAATGCCCTGCTGTTGTCTTGGGCTTGCGATCTCGCGGATTCATATTCTGTCAACGAACATAAGATGACGAACTAAGAGCGCTTTCAAGCACCCAGATATATACATTTTCGACTCTCTGTGAATAGCAGATGGATAAGATGGATAATCCTGAGCGAACCCCAGAGGTCACCTCATCCGCGTATCTAGCGTACGCTCTACGAGCGCTCTCTCGCTCGCGCCTTCGCTCCTTAGGACTGTTATTCCTACGCCTCTCGAAACTAACACCAGAGCCTTGCACTGCCACATCTGTGTTATCTACACTCACATGCGTTCCTCGTCACTCTCATCAAAGTAGTCCTCATCCTCAGAGTCCGACTGGTAGTACTGAGCCCATTGACCGCTGCCCTGCCTACGCTGAGTTCTCTTGAACCTACCATAGGCTTACAGAAACTAATGATAAGTTAACATCCGTATTTGGAATATTATAATTAGTCAGTGCTGATAGGTGTCACCAATCACCACCTCAAATTCGGGCGAACACCCTGTTGAGCTTCCTCATGAAAACGATAAAGGTGCTCATAAAAAACTTGTACTTCTATTTGAAATATTTCCCTTCACAGGCCTCTGGAGGAAGTGATTTTTTTTTCGGGAATAAATGCCCGGCACACTTTATAGTATCATTCGATAGAACGTATCGTGAGAAGTGATAATATACAGATATGTACTTTGTAAATTTCGGAGGAGCGAGCGAAGCGAGCATATACCGGAACAACAGGCACTTTCGCGTTGTCGCATGAGTGCGTGCGTGATGAATTATTCTGGCTTGACTAGGAGGCTACCAAATAGCTCAAACGACTCCTCTATACGCGGAGGTTTTGGGAAAAGTCGGACAACTCGATTATGCGAACAGCACGAAGAGATATGCACGAAAAACTTTAATGACGGGGAAATGTCCTACCCGGGGATCGAACCGGGGACCTATATCAAATTCATTGATCGAATCAGTAGACGTGGACTAAATGAGCTCCGCCTCTTCGTTACGAAGGTCTAATACTTTCATAACGACTATATTCACACAATACGCCTAGTCGTAAAAACCATCCATAATTGCGACAAACAGAAATTTGCCGCTGCCCTCTGCAGGTTACTTATTCCATGCCTTTTCAAACTCCCTTTCATCAAAAGCGAAGTCCTCCCCCTTAGGCCGCCCCCGACCAGACGACCACCACCACGTTGAGCCGCCAAAGCCTCCAGAGCCACCGAACCCTGAGCCGCCACTATTCGGATAGGAATAGGAAGACGACGATGATGATGAGGAAGATGTAGACCTGAAATGAATCGATATAGGATAGCGACTTCGGGACAGGCCAGATGCTACGATGTGGTATTTGTCGACTTCGGCACGCCATCCTTCTTATCCCTATTAATGTGTTCATAGGCCTGTTGCACCTGATTCACCACCATATGCAATAGCTCGAGAGTGTTTAGAGTATGCGAGACCAACGATACACACATTTCACTTTATCAGGTTTCCGAGTTTCCTGCTCTAGCCGAGTCGTCAAAAAACGCTCCACAAGGTGCCGAAGTTTCCCACCAAAATAGCTCCCCTAGTGCCTTACATTAACCCCCAAAGCGAACACGTAGCATACACTAGAAGTCGTATTTCGGCTCACAAATTACTTCACCATTATTAATTTCACTGCACAACCTCCCAAAGCAGGTATTCTCACTCGAACGAATTTCTCATGATTTCCTCCAGCATCAGGATGGTGTTGTTTGACGGCCTTTAGATACGCCTCTCTAACCTCCTTATCAGAGGAGTGTCGATGAACCCCCAATTCGGCGTAGCTGTCGAATCTAGGTACAGCACTGAAGTGCCGTCGAATAGAGCTGTACAGTGGAGGGCTGCACTGCCGGACTACTAAGCCGTATCCGTTATAAATCATTCACAAAAATGGAGACTACAGGAACCAGTGTTGCAGAAATAAATGTTTGCTTTCCTCAGCTGACCTCTATAGAATTGTACAAAAACCAATGAGAGTTTCCTAAAATATTTTCTCAAAAAAATTTTCACCTGACCATGTGCATATTTTCCAACAACACTGTGTAGAGCGCATGCACAAAGCGTACAAGAGAGGAACACTAGAACAATCACTGCATAAGTTCTGGTATTAGTGCACAGAAACCAATAATGAATTTTTCATTTCATCACCGACACACGTACTTTACCGTAACAATGTGACCATTTCTCCGGTAGAAATATGTCAATGCACGGGAGCTATAACTCAGATGAAGCCTTGACCCTGATTGTCCATTGTTAACCCAACACCAGTCCTATAGTCACGTGAAACGTCGTATAGGGCAATCACCATTTCCACTTATCAATAGGGGGGAAGGCATTCTGTTTGGAGAAGACGAACTTCTTATGCTCATACGACAGGTAACCCTAAAGTAGATAAACGATGTGTTTCTTGCACCATCACCACTAACATGTGCTGGTGACACTGAAAATTTTGCGGAAATTTTTCTTGCTGTCCGCACACTTCTACCCGTATGTTAACTTCTATAGTAAATGATAAAACCCTGCTGAGCTCAGCTGAGGAAAGCGAACATATATTCCTCCAAAGACTCTGCTAGCTCAGTCGCACTTGGCTTTACACCAGTTGATGTATGAATCACAGATGCCATCGACATCACACAGTTGGACTGTTTCATCTTGTCCTATCAAATACATACTAGTGACCATATATCTCACATACGCATTGATACAATTTCGACACAAAGATGATAATTTCAAAGGACGCCTCTCCACACCTTGATCGCCTGTATGTATATGAGGCCAGCTAGAGCACACTGGACCTCGTCAGCATCAGGCCTATGTAGTTGATGATCCTCGCTCTCCACGCTCATAGGGGAGCTACTAGCTACACTAATATTGGAGGACTCGACGCCTTCCGAGGGCTTAGCAGAGGCAACTTGCCAGGCTAATGATCAACACCAATGGGGACCGGTGATACTCGAGATGGACGTACCAATCTCGAAATATTCCAAGTCCAGTTTATATGCACACGAGGCGGGATCTACTATCGAGTAAACACGCTTGGCAAGGTTCCTATATAACACCAACTGAAATAGATGCATGATATCAACTCTCTCGATATAGCATCGTCTCACCAGCAATTTCTCCATTACCATATACGTCCCAGCCTTCACATACTCATCAGTGTTGTGCTCGAGGCAGATTTGATACCTGAGGGGGAGGTCCCGGGTTCGATCCCCACAAGCGGCATTTTTACTCTCTAATATTGCCAACCCGGACAGCATGCAGTATGCGTCCATACTCCCCCTCCAGGCCGTACTCCCTCAACATGCTCTCACTCGGGAGAAAACCACGTGCCAGTAAATTACACGGTATTAAATACTGTGCAATTCGTCTCCTATTACTCCTATGCTCCTCACAGCAGTTCTCCAACGCCCAATTCAACCGCTCAGTAGCTTCACCAAATTTCTGCTCTGTCACTAAATACTTCCCCCAGTGAAAATACAGCGTTACAGCGACCGACTTAGGCAGCACCTCAGGTTTGAAATACGCCTTATACTGTTGCTGAATCGATGCCAATATCGGACCACACAGTGCAACTTGATCTAGCCTCTGGAATAGTCGTAGTAGCTCACTCGACAGCCAACACGCCCCCGTCATCTTCCTTCGACGTTCCTTCAACAGCTTCGGGAAGAGCTCACGAGCGACTTCAACCATCTTCATACACCACCGGTGCTGATCACTGGCGTTGTCCATGTATATTGCTAGGTGCCGTGATTGGGAGGTAACTTCTATGAAGGGTGGGACGAACCATGCAAAGGAGTCGCCAGAGGTGAAATAAACATCTTGAAGGTCTTCTGAGGACTGAAAACGAGACCAGAAAATAAGATTCTTAAATTTCAGTGCAAGTCGAAATTGCGCAGAAATGAATATCATTAATATGATAGTTTTCTTTTTTGACAAGTCACCAATGCTTCTATGAAAATGAAAAATTCCAATTTTTTTGATATACCAATTTTCATGCCGAAAAGTCCACCAGGCTGAGACTCGCGCATTAGCCGCAAAGCGAAGACCGGCTGGAACGAATAATAGCAAAATTACAATGCGAATCGGACCCCACTGGAGAGGTCGTTTCCTTTTCCACTTCTGCTGATGATTATTCTCATGATGCAACAACAACACTGATGTATTCACCCTCCCTGCATTGATACTAATTCACAGAGTGTTATGAAAATCGTTAGATAGGAGATACGCGTAACTTTGCGTACCAAGATTATAGGGTTATTCCACGTACAGAGCTGGTAAAAACAGATTTCGATAACTCTCAATTTCACAGAACTAGAAAAAATAAAAACACTTCTGACAGACCAATAAAACAGTGAATATTCCCTTCGGGAGTTCGGGCAAACTTCCAGGTTTCAGCTCCATATCGTGCGAGATTCTAATACTACCACTAGCACTACTGATATAGACTCCAGCCTACCTCCTCCATGCTGGACAGCAACTCACTGTTGACATAAAGCTCCGTGTAGGCCCTCACTGAGCTCACTAGATTCTCCAATGCTAGTGCCTGGTGAGTTCAAAATAGAGGAGGATGAGCTCTCTCACTACGCACCCAGTCGTGGTTTCGTCGGGCCTTGAGATGCAACAGGTAAGGTTGCAGAAACTTGCCCCACATGCAAATCTGTGCTCCCTGCTTAGTCAGTGTTGTGGTGACCACACGCTGAATGGCTGAGTCGGCTCTATTCAGGCAGTTGTCTGAACCTATATTGGAACTTCACCCTAGTGATATGAAAAACACCAGTGAGAAATATATTTCACAACCACTGCATATCACCGCGAATGTCGCCTTTTTAACAGAGTACTACGCCACTTCACGTAAAACGATAAAAGTGTCCAACCACAGGAAATCTCACGATTACATTAATATGTGTGTTCCGAAGAAGTGATTGACCTCCTCCAACAGCCGAGGTGACGATTTGAGAGATCGACAAATACGAGTACTTGGTATACCACATATCCATATTGTATATTATAGATAGACATTATAGAGATTATTGACATATATCATTATATTTCATACCATATTAATATATTATATTATGATATAAATAGATATATAATTACATACCATATTATTAAATATATATATTATTAGTAATTACCAGATAGATTATTAATTGCGACCAACTAGGATCCTCGAAATGCTCCCCAACTATTACTACTACCTAGCCTCGTTTTTGCATCAGCTAAGTGGCGCCTGATGCCATCCCCGTCCTCCTCTTGTAGTAGCCTGATGGAGTCCGTACACCATACAGTGAGCTCGTCGTTGCTGTTATGATGCAATGACGCCTTGTGCTTTGGTGGAGACATGGCTAACAGTGGTGACACACAATCTTGGTGTCACACCTTCCCTACATTCGGAAACACAATAGGACATGGACATTTCTCACCCGCCTAGCAATACCCGACCAGTGCACTCCACCGTTCATCATTTCTCCATGTTCGAAAATACAATCGAGCACTTCCCTTCAGATCAACAAGTGCTCTATCAATATACCTTCGACAATGTGGTATACAGTAATTTAAAACTCCCATAGCGTAGCAAAATGTCATAGCTGTTATTCTTAGAGGAGTCCTATACTTCGTATACAACATACCAGCCGTAGCCGAATCCCACGACCCCCGTGATACTTCGGGTCCACACGACTCTTCACATTTTCACCACACCAGTGCTGCAAAGAAATGTTCGCTCTCCTCACCTGAGCTCAATATTTGCCTCGCCAATTCTACATACGAATTGGGAGAATATATACGACAAATTTCCTCTCAGAATTTTCATACTCTCACCAACACATGTGGTTAACCATGTGCATATTTTACTACACTGCACCACACGCAAGTGAAAATTGATAGTAGTTATACCACATAGATGCTACCCCTACATCCGTTCTTTATCTTGTTAGAAATAATGAATTCTACTCCGACCTACTTTAGCACGCACAGACTCCTATGTGCTAAGGCGAACGAACCCCTCCCAAACTGCGTCCTCAAATACTCACCAACTTGCAACAAGACACTCAATATGAACCGAGAAATCCATACAGTATTCAATCATGTCGATATATATACGATTCAACAGCCTAACGGTATCATCGCTGACTCTTCTGCCTTACACCATGGTTCAAACCCCAGCAAGCGCATAAGGTCGCCCTCAATACCAACTGACTGTCTACTTCCTCACTATTTCGAGTAGCCATCAGCCCTACCAACAGGTCACATCCTATTGATTCAATACACCAACATTACTAGCCGAAGTCCGTCAGTCTATCTAGACAGACCTCAAGACTAGCATATAGCGATGAATTGAATATAATAAGACTATACTGTAAAATAGCAAACCGAGGCATCTCAAGAAAATTGATGAGGACAGCAACATACAGGGGTCGAGAGCTCTTCCTCTACGCTGCTAACCTGAATTAGGACTTACATGCTTCATCTGAGCGCACTGTGGGAGAATATGCGCATTTGGTGGCGATGATATGAAAATTCTGAGGAAATTTTCGGAGATTATTTTTGATTTCTGTAAATTTCCACCCCGATTCATATATAAACTCCCATGATTAGTGCCGAAGTTCCCGAGCTCAGATGAGAACATCAAATATAAAATTCCAACACTCACGAGTATGCATATCAGGCGATCACTGTCTGCCTCCACCGCCTCCACCACCAAAGAGCAATGATATAACCTACGAGTAGTATAGCGAGAAAACAACGACTATGCAACTCACCGTAGTAACAACCATGCAGAACATAATAGTACTTGTAATCGACAAGCTGGTGATCGAGCTGAACACGTGCAGTGTTGGAGGACACTACCTTCAGACTTACTTCACAAAGACCGTCCACCATAGTAGCGGCGACGTGTCAATGCAAGTGATCGAGGTGTTCACCCAAACCAAGCCTGATAAGGGGTCGTAGACAAACAACATTCTGTAGTATCACCAACCCTACCTGTACACAGCCAACAGAAGGAGCCTGCCAAGAGTAACAGCTCCAGAATAAAAGCACCTCTGAGGGTAGCAGACATAACCCGACGGAGCGAAGCACAGCAGTTTTACTTGAATCCCTCTTCACGACCATAGGAGTAGACCAGGAAGGTAGCCGGCCAGCCCAGCAAGAGCCCCACTGAACAGGTACGATCACACTGAGGATAATGCCGACAGCAGCACACCTATTGCCCAAGCCAACAAAGGGACATCACAGGGAATCCCAAAGCCTCGGATAGTAGCGACCAGCAGGGAGGTGTCGAATAAGCTGACTCCTGTCATGATAGTCGGCAGCCACCTACACGTGGGGGTGAGGTCGGTTCAAAAGGCGACATAAATACTCTAGGAATTTCCTAGATCTGCCAGAGTTGATCTTGTGACCTCCTTGGTAGTGCTCATCCTCATCCATAGGCTCCATTGATCCACCACTCTTGGTCGCGATATTCACTGGCACGCCACCGCCGCCACCGACGCGACCAACGCCACTACTCGATGACGAAGTCCTCCTGGGACCTGTGGGGGGAGGCACGGTGTGGCAATACATACACATAGGCAACTACATGTGTTGACTAAAATAATGGAATTTGGAAAAACTATTGGGGTTTTCATACTCCAGTCAAACTGAGGAAACCAAACATATATTCCCACACTGGGAATGCAAGCCGAAAAGAGCTAGTGAAAAATATATTTCACGACTACTGTATATCACCGCGAAAATCGTGTTTTTCACAGAGTTTTACGCCACTTCACATAAAACGGGTGAAACTCCACTATATCGCGTCCATCCAAATCGAATATATATACCATATAACACCAACATAATATCTCCATGGGATTGTCGATATAAAGTGCCCTGCGAGGTGAAGGAGGCCACAAACAACTCTACGTGCAGCCACTTACCCTCGCCGAAAAAGTCCCTCGAGGTGGCATCGTCCCTTCCAAGGCCACTCTGGAGAGGAATAGTAAAACTCAATAGTAAAACTGTTCTTTACCGCCAGAGCAGCAGCTCCCACTAGAGGAGCAGCAGTCGGCATCATCCCTAGCTGGATGGGTACCGACACTGGAGGTAGTAGGGGGTAACTTGCCAGACCACCAGGCTGAAAAACATATGTCTACTATGAACCCATAGAGCATATGACTTACATCAGCCTGCCAAAAGGTGTCCCACGCCTGTTGGAGTAGGACGAGACCATCCTCCAACCCCAGCATGAGCGAACAAACTACACCTAATGAATCCTTCTCCTTTACAAATCGTCGTCCGTGTAAAAAGCGCACGCCCATCTAATCGATTTACCACAATCGCGATGATCTTGGCCAAGGTGCAGCGTTCTTCCGTGATGTCTTCGCCACTTTACCGCGAATATGCAGCAGTGCTGATCGGTGGGACGGGCCGCCTTGGAAGTCACTTAGTCCGGAGCTTCCTCCTGTCCCCTTTGTGTAAGCCACCAGTTGGTCCGTAGTGAATATATCACATTGGTAGGTAGCCGGCTGGTCTCTATAGGCCGACCGGGACATGCTCAGAGGCTCAACAACTTCATCACCACTAAAATGGGCAACGCTGGAGCAAAGTACTTTAGGAGGGCTCGTATGAGGGAATCCATATGGTAGGTCTAAATTGAAAACAGTTGACATCGCTGAGGACTTGTCGGATTTGCCGGCCGCTTTGAAGGAGTATGGAACAGGCGCTGAGCTTGCGGTCTCGGCTCTTGGTGCTAGAGGAGGCAGGTATGGATTGGTCTAATGGTGGGATTCTCATCTCCATACCATGTGGTCGTGGGTTCTAATCCCTCACTAGGTACGGTTTAGCAAGCCCTGCAGATCTCTTCCGCCTAGACGTCGCTACCAATTTGAGTTTTGCCGAAACCGCCGCCCAACAACTCGGTAGTCTCCCGGCGCCTCTTTATTGGAATTATCTTTTTCAGGCGTTTCCCATGTGGCTCTTATGAGCCACGTTAATGCCAATTACAACAAGGCTGCTAGTGACGAAGCGATGCCTGGCAACTTCAAAGAGGCTAAAGGACTTCTCGAGTAAGGGGCTCTACCACACGAATACATTCACTATTGTATATCTCTAAACTCTATGACCAATACGGTGATATGTGTGCTTTCATTGAACACGGATAATGAGCAAATTCCATGGCAATGTTTGTCAAATCTCATTCTACCATATTTATATATCACGTTTTAGTAGAGGCTCTAGTCTCTGGTCCCTAGCAGTGTCATTTCGCCTAGTAGTAAGTGACCGTTAGATACAGAATCGAGACTTCTGAGGTGCTGAAGTCTTTGGGTACTCGAGTATCGCTATTCAAGCCTGCCTTGATCACAGGGGAACCTTCCGACCAATGCGGTGAGTTGGCCTCTTGCTGGTATTATAGCAGTATGTTCTTCAGAGGCCCCGCCAGCAGTGAGAACCTCTTCCTCCTCCTCCTCGTGTTCGGTGAAGGAACGACTGATACAAACGTTGTATCCAATTAAAGCTCAGTTTATGCGGACACAGTTTCGAGAGATCAGCGCTGACCATCTGGCATTAGCGGTAATACTATTACCGTAAACTGCCGCGCTTGAATTTTCGTGGAGTCGCTTCCACCTTGTGCTTCTCGAGAGCACTTAGGGGCTCTGTACAATGCAGTTATAGAAACTACAGGGGACTAGGCCTCAGTTCATTGGGTTTTTAATAGGGCGCTTCACAGAGCGAATCGAAACTTTACGTATCTAGCAGTTATAATATTCACAATAACAGTTTGGAAATTTCATTTTGTTACGTTTCAGGTGAGGATCAATCATGAGATGTGCGTACCGTCAGAGGGGGTATCGATGGAGCCGTTGGGGTATGAGGAGTGTATGAGGTTAATAGGAAAGGATGATGACATTTGACTTCACGTTGGTATACTGCTATTTTTACACGAGTGATATTGTTTCTATGAGAGCGTTGATCCCGACTTAGCCGTAGCAGTTGTAGCAGTACTGTTGGAGTAGGAATATATGTTGGTTTTCCTCAGCTGAGCTCAGGAGGAGTTCCTTCACTAATTATAGAATTCAGGTAGAAGTATTGCAAAATTTCCTCAGAATTTTGATATTCTCACCAACATATGTAGTTGACCATGTGCATATTTTCCCACACTTTGTGCAGCAGTTTCTTCATTTCGGTGATTTTGAATTCTCATGTCGGGACAACAGCGAACTCTTCAGCCTTACGTCACTGGAGCTTCAGTATTGGCAGTGAAGTGAGGCGGAGCGAAGCGATTCATGTTTCGTATCATTTTCTCATTGATGTAGGTATAAGGATGGTATTATGATGTGCTATGACACTTTGGCCAGCTATGGCAGTTCTGCGAGATTCACGGGAGTTGACAGGGTTATCAAGGTAGGAGCATTGGATTTTAGAGGTGCTGGGCTCGCCAGGGACCTATTCAGCTTTGAGAAATAACATCACTCAGAGTTTAATAACAATGGGGAAAATGTTCCTAATGTGATGATGACATTCACATGAGAAACTGATTGAAGAATGTGTTCCTAGCCATCCGTGGAAATGAGTTCCCCCCCGGGACCGTCCGGAGTTGTCCATGGTGTGGTATTTCAGGTCGGCAGTAACACCCTCGTGGCTGCTTCGGGTGAGATTTCAGATTTTCAGTAAGAATCTTGAGGTTGACCGAGAAAGATTCATTTGAGGTCGGAAATTTTTGTAGGTATCTGAGTGATAATCTACAGGATCTTGAAAACCAGGACTGGCTTTGTGATGATGGAACTGAGTAAGTGGTATCATAGGTTGCCGACTGAAAGATACGGAATAGGTCCGGAGGAGGTCTATCTCATTTCAGGCGTGGCCCCTCGGAATGGGCACAGTATATCAGTCGTATATACTACCAGAAACGAGGCAAGATGGATCCTCTTTACAACAATGTGGTCATTGGTGGTATCAACAAGAAGGGCAGCAGCGAGGAGCCTTATTACCTCGCTACTGTTGACCTCTACGGAACTTTCTTTCAAGAGGATATTGTGGCAACAGGTGATCATAGAAGTCTCTTATCTACCACTGAGACTGTTGCTAGTCTTTATGAATATCATTACTAGGCCTTCAAATGAAGAACCTTTGTAACGGTCGCGGGTTCGATTCCCACGATGGGCCTTTTTCGTGCATTTTCTATTCTCTCACTGTCATGACACTTGAGAGTTCAAGTGAAAAATGGAGGAATAAACGAACCAATACAATCGATTCGCGACAGGGAATATACTCGCGATTTGCCTCAGGTTTCGGTCAGCATTTAGCGATCCCGATCATGCGCCGTAAGCATCGTAATGATATGTCCGAGGCGGAGGCCAGAGAGATGTTGGAGGAATGTAATAGTATCTTTGTGCATGCGTGCTGATTTACGACCACTGGTCTAGGTATGAATGTGTTGTACTACCGTGATTGCTATTGCTCCAATAAGGTCAAGTTCGCGACTATCACAGCTGAGGGATATAAAATCTCCAACGAGGTAGCATCTGCCTCTTGCTTCGCTCCGCCAATTTTCGTTTCAGGTTGTTCTTTCTGGCAAGTGGGATTATCAGAGATGGATTACTCCTACTATCGAGATCGCCCAGACTTTGGGGTCCAGCTGGTAGAGTCTCTAGACTAAACACCGTGGAGCTGATACCAGTTGGATGTGGAGGTCATTAGTATCAACAGTATTTCCCAACTGGCGCCTGGGCTGCGTTACAGTGTCAATTTCACTCGGGCGGAATGGACGCTTCACATGGTTTGGTATTCTGGGGATCTGCAGAAAGATCTGGAGACAAAACTTGGATGTGAAATATATTGCGCCCTATCAATGATACAATGGAGTTTCACTCGTGATATGAAAAATACTTCACGAGTACTTGGTAAAAATAAGGAAATTGTTAGGAAATTCACAGAAATTATCGTATTTCTTCTACCCAAATCGTGTGTGTATTCCTATAAGATAGTGAAAACATTGAGGAATCCAAACATATACTCCCACATTGCTGCCTGCCCAATCTGACCTCCATTCTAGCATGTGAATTCAGATAGGAGTGTACAGAAACCAACGAAAATTTCCCTAGAATTTCCATATTATCACCACCACACGTAGTTGATCATGTGCATATTTTCCCACAGTGGTATGAGATGACAACGAAGTCACAATCTCTCCGTGATCACCGATGTTCTTGCATACCATCCATCGGCCTCATCATACTCCTATGGTATGCTCTACACCTTAGCATGAGAGTGTGATGAAGGAAACCCGTTATTGCTCATCGGAGTAGCGTTTAATAGTGCGCGGCGTGGAGTGACTTCCGATAAAATACATTTTCCAATCGTCCTGGTGGTCGCTGAAACAGCGTGTGACAATAGTGACCATCTGCCCTCGTTGAC